GAAAGGTCACTTTATATAACTAATCTATTGAAAAAGAAATCTTTTAATTTGCCCCGAAGTAAGTTTCAAGATGTTGGAACCTACTTAGATGTCTAAGAAAAAAATTCCTGCAATGGAGGACTCTGCAGCTACATCATGAAATGGGAACTGTATGTACAATCTAGGTGGTTGTTACAGAAACCATCCAGTGTAGGTCCCTTCAAACAATCATTTTATTTAGTGGCAGAAATATTTGAGAAACAGATACAGCAACGTCTTGCAGCTGCTCACATTAGTTCTGTGCCCTCTTGCTTGCTGTGAAACACTGCAGCTTTCATTAAGGCTTCAAATCCTGAAGAAGTTACTGGGAGCTGTGGGTCATAATTTTTTCTGGCAGAAGAACTGAAATACTTTCTCAGAGGTGCAGGTTTTAGCAATTCCAAGATGCCTGAATTATTATTCATTTTTAATTAATTTTGTCGCTGAATGTAATTTGGGGTTGCGAGGGATGAGGAATGCTGATTTTTAGTCAGGCCCGTATCAGAGCTGCTGTTTATGGCCCAGGCTTTCAGTGCGGAAGGCTCTGGCTGGTTGCAGCTCTGAAGTGTACTTTTTATTGTGCCAGATCTGGGATTTTCAGCTAGTATTAAAGCATGCAATGATTAGGCAATTATTTATATAGACGTAGCAGAGGGTGAAACAACTCAATGTAATATAAACTAACTCAGTGTAATCCATACCAGATTGAGTGTTTAGGTTCCTTAAGGCTTTGTAAAATTTGTTGTAAATCTTGTTTTGAAAAATTTTATTTGCCTAATGATTTTTTTGAAGTAGGGTAAGAAATGCCTTCTTTTCTACCTCTGTGTCTGTCCTATCACATGCCTGCACATCCTTGAATCCATACGTAAATCCTGCTCTCCAGTAATGAAATCCTGGTGCATTGACCAGGATTAAATGCGCCAGGATTTATTAACACGTGGTTTTATCTAAATCAGGACTGTTGACCTTTGCTCGTGGTCTGGATAGATCCGATGTGTGATGTTGGTGACCTGTGTGCATATTGTTTTTCATGGATACTCCAGAGTAATGTGTTTTGGGGAATTAACTTGTTACATTGGAAAGCAATCTGTGCCCTTGGTTAAAGCTGTTTCCTGGGTGCATTCTGCATGGCAAAATAGGCTGAGGTTATCTGCCCCCTGCACGTGTCCTTTTGGCTGTTAGATTGTTGGACTGTTAGAGTTTGGATTGTGGGTTCGGGACCCAGCGCTTTGCATGAGCAGTCGATCTCCAAACACAGAGATGCTGCTGGGGTCCTGGAACGTCGGTGTCTTGTTGGCCGCCGACTCGACCTGCAGTGCTGAGGACCAGAGTCACCTGTGCTTGTTGACAGCTTTGAGACAATACAAATGCAAATCGCTTTTGCGACTCCTTATGTTCCTTAGCTTGCTTGCCCTGGGATTCTCTATAAAACTTGAATGTAATTTGATAGCCAAGCAGTTAGCAAGAGTAACTAGAGTAAATCAGTTGCAATTTCTTGCTGCTTGAGCCTTGGAATAAAACCAGATGACAAAAAAACTCTACATAATTTAACAAATATGTTGCTGAAATATTAGCCTGTATCACCTGGAAGCTGATGAAGATGGATCCCGATATAATTATGATAAATAGTTGTGTTCTTTAGGAATTCTAAATCAGGACAGATTTAAACCATCATCTATGAGCCCTGTTTTTGTGACAAGCTGTTTTCGTTTGACTGGACTATATTTAGATAGCTTATAGTGTACTGTAACTAACAGCAGATTTAACTGTAGTTGAGGATTAATCTTCCAAGACAGCTATACAAGAAGAATTCCATATTGCTTTCCAGTATAATGAATTAAGTCCCCTAGTAGATCTCCTACAGGTGTAGAGGATTCGCTAGGAATTAGTGAAAGAAAAGGGCTGGAGACCCAAGCAGCTTCTGAGGTTATGCAGAATATTTGGTAGACAGAGTTAGGGATCCTTGTTTGCAAGAAAACTTAACCTAGCAGCTTTGGGCCTGCATCATCAGTGGTACTTTGGGTTGATTTTGAGATTTTTCAGGCTAGCATGTCTTGTTCATTCATCTTACTCTGATCCACACAGCCTAAAAGCTCTGTATATAAAAACTCGTGTGACAATATTGCAAAGCAAAAGCTTTTTATCAGTGTCTTCTAATCCTTTCCACCAATTTCTAATATTTTGGCTAGCGTGCATGACAACAGAGGAGGCAAAAGAAGAAATTCACAGGAGACCTTCCCATCCGACTCCACTGACATCTCGAATTTCCCAAACACAGAAAGTTGTGGTTGTTCTCCTCCTCCTGAAGCCGAAGTAGCTTTCAAAGTCTTGGCAGATGCTGCAGCGTTTCGATATAATTGTTAGGAGTTTAATGGTTTTTCGGAGCCAGCTCTCCTCCCCTCGCTGGAAGTATTCACAGGCAGAGGCTGCAGTTTTATATTACGGCCGCGTTGATTAACTGTGGGCCATGACCGAGAAGGGAGGTCTTGTTTTCTTCTCCAGAACATTTTCCTTCCCCCTCCCATATGTCACCAGCATTACTATTTGACCCCACAGTGAACTGCTTCAGAGGACGAAAACTGTGGAAAAATAACTAAGAAAAGAACAGTTTTTCTGCTGGTTTGGTGCTCTGAACCCAGTGCCCATGGGGTCGGGTGAGTGCCAGCACTGCTGGAAGAGCCAGGGTGCAGAGGTGGGGAAGGTGGCCGGGGGATCCAGGCCCTTTATAACAGTAGACCTTGAGTGCAGAGGTTCTGCCATCAGTTTAAAGATTATCTGTGCCTTCTCTGTGTAGATGCTGAGGGGAACGGCCTGGCTCTGCTCTCTGTGCTTGGTGGCCTGGTTTCCTCCCTGCTCCGCCGTGCTAGCGTGCGCCTCGAGCCACCGAACTGCTGAAACACTCGTGGTCACCGTGGTGTTCACGTGGCTCATGGGATCCGGGAGTAGATCCAGCTGAAAACAGTCAAAACAAAAATACACACATATATATACATACATGTATATACTTACATACATAAGCTGGCCTCGCAGCTTCACTAACACTGTCTTCAGCGTCACCTTGCAAGGGACAAGGGAGGACCTTGTAAGGGGTGAGGGAGGATGAGTTTGCCTTCTGTAGCAGCATAACAGACTTGGATCTCCTTAAGCTTATGTAGACATTAGGCTGGAAATTGCTGAAGCGTTTTTATAGAGAAAGGTTTTCTTTCACCATGTGTTTGACCTTCAGCTGGTGTAGACTTCCAGGTTCAAGGATTTTTTTGAAGGATAGGATGCTGAAATCTTACACAGCAGCTCCTCCACCTCTCCATCAATGACCGTGTGTGATCCAGTATATTTTCTGGAACAGAGCTGGAGAGTGAGGTTTGATTTAGAACGGACATCTCTATGTGCCGTGTGTCACGGACAATTGTCCTTTTCAGTTAGCGTGGAGCTAAAAGCCATGTATGGACTAGTCATGTCCACGCTGGTTTTTTGCTTTTGAATATTTCAACTCTAACTGATTCTGTGGGGAGAGTTTTTGACTTAGAAGCCAGCGTATTCCTGTTAGGGACAAGCCATTAATGTGTTAAATCGTAGTTATTAAGTGATAGGGATTATTCTGACTCAATAGGGTTGCCTAAACTGTAAGCATCCAGGCAACCATAGGCTCCTTTTTTGACAACAGGAATCTGCCATTAAGTCCATGGAGTTCAGAGTGCAGCACATTTCTCCCAGAAGCGGATGCTTGTGTTTGGTCAGATGGTTCATTCCATAAAAAAATCTGGGAGCAGATGGGCTTTTGGTTAGACTTCTATACCAGGTTGCTTGGAGAACTCACTGCATATAGAGAACTGGATGCACAGAAATTGGCTTCTGTTTCTCCATGGAAATGGAAGCGTTCAGACACGACAGGAATTGGGGAAGCTCCGTGTCGGGTGGCCGTCAGGGGGAGGGATAGCTATTGCTTTAGTGTGGAAGTGCCTGGGTGCAAGTGACAACATTCACACTATGTGCCAGTGCTTAAACAATTCAGCTCGACAGGAATATTAATCTGGCCAATGCATCCGGCTATGGAATGATGTGCTCGTAAGATCAGCATTTCCATTAGTGTTTGAAGAGCAGCAGGTATGGTGTGTAGTATTTTTTGTTGTTTTCTTTCCTCCTCACTGTATTAATGGGGCTGTACTTGGAAGCTCTTGGCCGGTGGCACAGGGCCCTGCTGTCCCTTTGCCCGTCGTGTTGGACGAGTCTGGGCTGGGTGCTCCGTCCTGGGCTAGAGGAGGGCATCACTTGGTCTCCCATCATCTAGATCCTGGCTTATTTCATAGCTGTGTTCATGACAGGTTTGTTTAAAGCCACAAAGATTGATTTGTACAGCTCTTGGCTGTCACTATTTGAGAGGATGAAATTAATAGTCAATCGCTTTCCATCCCCTTAAAGTGTTCTCTTTCCAACAACCTTTTAAGGTAGGTACTGCTGGGATAGCAAATCCATAGTGCTCTGGTGATGTTTAAAACCAAATTGCATCTTGTATATCCATTCTTGATAATTTAAGCATCATTATATAAAAGGCCAGTGAAAGTTCCTACTGAATATATGTATAAGGGATACAAAATCAAGATGCAATTCTAGAGTTGAGTTTAAAATTCTTTCTCTTCACTGTCAGCACTGTCATTTTAGAAGAACTGGGATTTCCAGGATATTTCTCAAAATTTGGAATACAGTTCCAAATACTCCATGTTTGTTTGTAATTTGTAATCTGAGGCAGGAAATACCTAGACTCATCCACGTGGCTGTGATGCCTCTTGAGATACTGCTATACAGTGCATTCTAAGCACATGTTATTTTTTAAGTAAATGAATATTTTAGCAGAGCTTTTCCACGCTGAAGGTTAAATATAACTAATTATTTGCAGATTTTTAGGTGAATGTGTAAGATCTGCATTGTTTCCCAGTAGGTGTTATTTTTGACATTAATTAGCTTTTTTTCCCCACCTTTTTCCTAGGTGTTTACCTCCCATGGCCCTACTGTGATCATGCCAACCTGGTTCTGTTCCCGAGAATGGTTTTATCACGTGGGCAAGTTTGATGAAGGTGGAAAGGTGAGTGCTGTGGATGGACATGTAGACAAGGAACCATCTGGTCTGACTTGCAGCATATTTGTTGTAGGGACTATTTGCTGTTGACTACAGCCTTTGAAGGCCTGAAAATTGTTTTAAAAAACAGATCAAAATGAGGTCCAGTATATCTGGACTGTCCTGCATACATTGTTCTTGATTCCAGTTTCATGGAAAACAGTACTTAACCAAATGCATTTGGTTTGGTGCTACTCTGATGTCTTAAGGGCGTAACTGAAGTCAGGTTTGCAGATAACTCTAGCACATTTTGTTAGATGTATCAGCATACCTGGAAAAATGAAACAGGACTTCAGAAATTCAAGCTCTTCTTTAGGCCTGAAATAGTAGCAGCAGATGTGAAAGATAAATAAAAGCCAGGAAGAACTTTGTAATTTTGTGATGGATGCTGTACTATCTCTGAACGATAAGATAGATATTTCAAAGGGGAAAAATATTTATATCCATAACCTGAAGGACATCTAAAAGCCCTATTAGGCCATGTGTCATGTGCATCTATACATAAATATATATGTGTGTGTGTTGGTATATGAGGATATACAAATATATCCTTTGGGCTGCCAAAAAATATATAATTTAAAAAGACAATGAACAAAGAGCAGGCCAAGTGTTCAGAGTGGTGAAAAGCTTTGGCTTTAATAGGTTTGCCTTTAATTGCACAGCAGGTGGGTGGCAGACCTGGGAATGGAGCCTGGCTTCCTTTGCAGTCTACATTTTTTCACTCCAGCTCTTTATTTCTTCTTTTAATTCTTGTTCCTTATCATTGTATTTTCACTCTCTGAAGAATATATTTGATTTAACTTCTTGAACATCATTGGTAAGTTAAAAAATAACAAAACACAGAATAATATAGCAACAAATCTAATGATAAAGTTCAAGAAGTTAGACTATTGTTCTGCTCTTCACTTTTCTTGCCTTTCCTGTCTTTTTTTGTGTGTGTTGTAATTAGGTGGGAACTGTGCCACTTGATATTAAGATGTAATACACTAACAATCCTAATGATTTTAAGCAGCAGTGTGTGATGTGTCCTTGTAATCGCGTTGGATCTGTTGCCTTGGCTGACATGGGGACCTTCCACAAAAACTCCCTGCTAACAGGGTTGGCAAGAGATCTGAACGAGACAGGGAGTCTGAGCAGCGAGGTCAAACCTCTATCCTGGCGAGTTTAGAGAGCACAGCATCAGGTCCTAAATCTTTTAGCATTTGGCACTGTAAAGTATTTAGTACTGATCTAATTCTTTTCCCCCTGAAAAGGATTAATTTGAAGCAAAGAAAGTCTTTCGATATGTATCAACAGGGCTATTATACTGCGCCCTTTCCAGGATCTTAGCCATGTGTGTGCATGCACTGACCTGACCGGTGATCTGCCTAAGTTAATTTAATCCCTATCCTCTCCATTTTTGAGTTAGTTTTTAACAGTGCAACCTGCGAGTGTCGTATTGCTTCCAGTAAACACAGGAACGGACTGAGAAATGTCCAGATCTCAGTCTTTTCCATTTGCTAAACTGTTTCCATGCCAGAAAGCTGCATTTCTCATTTGGAATTAAATCCGAACACCTGTTCTTCATATTTCAGTCCTTGGAACAAATGGAAGGGAATTCTTCCACGCAGAGAATGTGATTTGATGTTTTAAGTTAATAGTATGGGTGGACTGATAGAATATAAATACATGACCTCTGATGTAATCATTTTTTTATAAGAGGTAGGTATACATGTATCTGTCTGTCCTTTATAAGAAACAGGTTTTTGAAATAGTTTACAAAATGTTTTCACAAGCAGAATTCCTTCAGGTCAAGATCTGCAATCTGGAAATTTATTCTGTGTGTTTTCACTGTGGCAATGTCCAAACCAAATTCTGCATGGCTTCCACAGAAACAGTATCCACAAGCTGGTATGGTTTATGTGCTGCCTAAATAAAATGGCAGAGACATTATTTATGCAGTTTCCGATATATGATTAATATTTGTAGATTCATGATCATGATGAGAGCCCAAGTTTGAAATATTTTCAGTGTGAAACCTCTTGTTATCAAGCAAAGCTAAAGGGATCACTAATGTTATAAAAAAAGCTAAAAGTACTTGAAAACAGTTGATTTTAACAAGTTATTTCTTTATGGTATGCTGAGACTGAGCTAGGCAAAGAGAAAGGATCACATTTTTAATAGCATCCACTGTTAGGAAGAGGGTCACAGGAACTGTGTTTTTGGCTTGATTTTTTCAGGAAGCTCAAGGAAAATAATCTGCCTGAAAGTTATCCAAACCATAGAGGGAAAGGTGCACCGAGGCTTTGCTGAACCCTCCCCAGCTCGCGTTATCCGTAGGGTTTGCTCCTCTGCTTTCTGGTGTCTTCTCATGGCTGGTGCTGTTGCCGAAGTGTCGTAACCGTATCCAGAAGTGTCGCATAAACCTGTGCTGTGGAAAACCCGGACAGGCCCTTCCATGGGATGAGTGGCAGATATCAAGGCTGAGCGAACTGTGAAACTCGGCAGCTTCTAAACCGAGCGCAGGAGCGGCCGGTGCTGCGGGTTAGGAGCCAGGTGAACACCTGAGAGGGCAGCTCCGCTTGTGTCCCCACAGAGCCTTGGAAACTGCAGCTGGCTGCGCTCGTGGGCTCTCCCAAAACGTGTCCCGGTGGCGCTGCCCACGGTGCCCTGCTCTCGTGTCCAGCCGCAGCGCCCTGCACGTGTCCCCGCTGGTTCCCTTGGCCGCCCCGGTCGGGAGCCCCGGGCACCGCTCTCCCGGCTGAAGCATCCAGCTTCTGGCTTTAGCTAAGAAGTGCTTTAGGAAACCTAGATAGTGGTAAGAGCTGCACGGATGAGCATTGCCTGCCGAGCCCACTGCGTGCAAACGCAGCAAAGTGTGTGGCCATGGCGTTATTCAAGCAGGATTATTCTTGACATCAAGACAGTAAAACACAACGCTTGGTTTTATTCTCTTGTGCCTTTACCAAAGCTTGGTCTCCTATTTCCAAGGTAGACCACATAGAAAATATTCTTTTTCTTTTCTTTTTTTTTAACCAAAGGCTCTCACTCCTGTCCTTAGCTTTCCTTTGTAAGCATATGCAGACTAAAAATGGCACAAATGACTTAAAGTCCTAACCTAATCTACAAGTGCAAACAGAGGGGAAGGATTCCTAATGAAGTCCAG